GAAACGGGTTTAATTTTTATATATTAATATTATATATTAAAATTGTAGAAAATATTTCGAATAATATCAAGCAAGTTCTGGGATGCAAGCAGTAAGCAATTAACCAGCTTTATTAATATGATACCAAAAGACTGACAGTTCCACCTAATAACGGATTTGGAATACTAACGAAACAACCATTTATATATAAGTTTTGCAGTTTTTGTGAGTACTTTTGAATACTAATCTTGTAGAGGGTAAATATTGAGATAAATTTCATGCTTATTATAGGTCATAAATCGCTGTTAGTATAGAAGCTTTGACTTCACGTTGATTAGGGCTTAGTATATTACTTACTGTATTGGCGCTACATGCAATTGAGTGGTAGCTTAAAGTTGTGATATGGTAGCAAAACGATGAAAACATTGTAATAAATGTAAATATAAATTGTATAACCAAATCATTCCGAAGAAAATCAAAAACATAACCGATTCGATCCATTCCTTATGACCTCGGTATATGTAAATTTGAATTCTGTCATCGTATGTTATATAATCAATCAGATCAATTGGCAACTGATGGAATTAAACACAAATAAAGCTTCGACAACCAGTTTTATTTATGATTTCTCGAACATCAGGACATTAAATTTGTTTCATAGTGTTCAAAGTCTCCACGCTCATGTTAATGATATAAAAATCGACTGCCTGATGCTGTCTTCAGATATTTAATGTTTGTACAAACTTGAAGTTATCCTCTGAAATGTTTATATACCAGGATCTACTTCAGTTATACGACTGAGGATAGATAGCAGAACAGCAATCGTCATTGACCCTTATGTTAGTAACAACTTTACCGACGTCTTTTAGCAACCGGGTACCGGGTACGATCTGAGTATAATTATTATTTTGTTTATTTTATTAAAAATTTCTAAAATTTGTTATAAAAATTTTTTTCAAATATTAATAGTCAGTGACAATTTAAAGAAGAAAAATAAACAAGGCAGAATAAAAAAGAAAACCTGAACTCACAAATAGCTTTTATGTTAAAAACTACGATTTGAGAGCTTAAATGAAATATTGAAAATATTATTCCAAAAATAGGCAAAATGCCCATATAACTAATGTAAATATTTCGAACTTCCTGTCGACTTTCTACGGCATCTAAGTAATCAGCCAATATGTAGTGAATCTTAATGAAATTCGAATGAATTCTTATAATAACAGTGTGTATTTGCATAAATGGAGGAAATCAGGGCAATGTTCCCTAGTCCCCATATACATAATATACGGATTTTCAAACATGCCGCTTAACTTTATACCTTATATGTATATTGAACAATCTGTGCGGTTTCTAATGAAGTTCATTACTTACTGGTAATGATACATATGTCGTAATACCAAACTGGATAAAATCGGATCAAAATATTCCTAGCCCCATATACCTGATATAAGAAAATGGATAAGAGTCATAGAAGAATATCAAATTTTCTGGTTGGCTCATCCGTATATATCGGTCAATATGTAAAATATCTTGGCAAAAAAATGATATTATAATATTGGATATACTCGTACTATAGTTAAATGCTGAAAAGGTCCGATATTGATCCACGAATTACACATTCTACATACAATTATTTTCGTTTATCCTGAATGAAATTCGATTTACCATCCTTTGGGATTTTTCCTTATCCCCATGTATAAAATTTAGCTCTTTGTTCAAAAATCTGAACACGAACTTTATATATATGCGTGTAACCTAGCTGTATCCTGTCGCGAATTGCACGCGACCAACTAAAATATAATTTGATCATTACATTTTGTATCATTTTATTTATTTATAAAAATTACATTTTGTACATTTTCATTTATTTATAAAATAATAAAATTAGGTATCAATTACTAAACAAAATTATTTATACTGTGCTATACGGAATAGTTTTTACACTGGTGACGGAAACAGTGTCACAACGAATTTTGTGTTGATTCTTGTTTATGCTGGTGTACTCTATTAACAATATATAATAATTTGTTTCAATCGAGCTTCTCGTCCAACAATTTTTCTTTTCGTTCTAATGATAAATAAAAATAAAATTTTATAAACTTTTTCATGTATTATACAAGTTAATGACGATGATACTAAACACTAATGCTAAATATAAAATTTTTACGCGTAGCAAATTCTTTTTGCATATGGTTCTTATTGAATATGAAATAATACGATTTGAACACAATTGAGTAGTTGACTCTAATTGAATTATTTTTATAAAACATTGTTTTTAAAATTAGTAATATCAAATGAAGGACGACATTTTCATCTCAATCGTACTGAATATCAGAAAATAAAAATTTTCCAAAATCATGCAAAATATAAACAGCAATAAAAAAGTGTATTGATGAAAAAGCTGACCATCGAGAAAAGCAGTCAACACTTGCGAGATTTTGTCTCATATACGTTTTTACATCATAAACATACCACGAAACTGTTCAGACCCCGACAAACAAAATTTAGACTTTAAGCCATTGCTATACCAACGATTTGGATCGAACCAAAGGAACATGTAAGTGGTTGTTATATTCGTTTGCCGAATTGTCTGTGCCAAAGCCTCAAAATCCATTTGTATATCTGAAAGAGAAATTCCTCAAACTTAGCGAGCCAAAATTAAATAGGGAATCTTTGTAGGTCCACAAATACGGCAACTGATAAAGAATGTTGAGCTTAAAATTATTGTTTTACTTATCATGTAAAACTTTCTTCTATGTAATTTTTGCAAGAGTAGAAACATTAGTTTTGTTTTGAATGCTCCAGCAGTAATCAACCATCATATATGCATTCCAATGACCGTGGTATCGCTCTTTATAGTGCGAATATCTTGATGAAAGTGTTTTCCTTGTTGTTTTGCTTAAGTCGTCTAAATTTTCTGGAAGCGGTCTAAATGTCTGAAGATTAAGTGATCTTGATGCTCATCCTAGTCTCTAGAAGTGCAATGATCGTTGGGTTATTATTATTATTATTAAATAGTAAGAAACTCTTTAGAAATCTCATAAACAAACCTAAGACACTTTAAAACAAATAGCTCCGCTTTAAATAAAAATACAAATTTAAACTATTTTGCGTAGAAACTGTAAATCGGCTGTATATTCCCGAATTTACATTAATCCATTAATCAGTAAGTAAGAAACCTAAACGCTAAGAGGTACTGAGCGGCTGTGAATCGAGACCTGCAAGGTCACCCATTCGACCAAATCTATTACCTCCAACAATTTCTTTGGAGAATAAGTCCACTTGAATCAGTTTCGATGGTAGATACTGTTGTTCACGAACGCGTCAATCGGTAGAGTGTTGTTTTAACTAATTTGGAACTAATTGTGAGTCAGTCCAAAAAAAGTAGTTATGGGAACAGAGGTAATATTTCTTTTACCTTAGCATGCGAGCGAGCAAGAAGGTGGGCCCGCAAAGTTCGACTTTGGGAGAACTGCTTCTTACTTGCCTTGATTTCGATGAGCAAATGTATGCACCTGTAACGTCAGGTCTTCTGTGCGTGTAAATCGCCGATCCGTATGCACGAATTAAGCGTCGCAAATTATTTCGGAGCATCTGGTAGCAGACAATAGCGAGGCGGATTGATTGATGGAAGCGAGTTAAGATATGCTAAGTAACTATTCCAGGCTTGATGTATATGTTGGGATACCGACTTGTCAATTTTAATTTAAGCGGCCACAATTGTTTATAAAAATCGCTTTGTAATAGACTTAAACTTGTTTTGGTGTGAATGAGAACAACAACGTGTCGATGCGTTGATTCCATGTCACCCCAAGTGCACTTATTATAGAATCATGGGTAATACTAAGCTCTTCATAGTTTGCCTTGCCATGAAATCTGGGTGATTGAGCGTCATTTGATAGAGGAAACTGAACCGCGTCGAAGTATCTCAATAACTTCTGCTTTAAATGGTAAGGCATCGTATCATCTGCAACCACACGGAAGATCATCAACATAAACGAATTCTTACAGCCGCAGCGCCCTTGAATTCACTCATATGCTTACCTCTACTTAGCAGTCTAAAGTTTCGTACTGCTAGATATGGACCAAGGCAGTGCCATATGTGAGCTAGTATGTGAGAAGATCTGCGTCTGGATAAGCTTTGCCAGAGAGTTAATGAAATTTACGATACTTTTATTCAAGGATACTTGCATGTTACATTTAATGATAGCGTAACAATACAGCGCTCTTTGGATCGTAGGCCCAACAAAAAGTAAGTCGTTTTAGTAAGTTGTTGGTCGTAGTTCGGCAAGGGCGCCGAACACTACTCGTAACTTTGTTGATGCGCTTGAAGGCTTTCAGTACGCATTACTGGATTGTAATAGTGGGGTTATCTAAGCTGAACATCTGTACTTCAGACATGTGATCCGAGACGTTCATACTCTTCCATACGAGACACAGTGGGATTGTCTTCAAATGACAAGTTTAATTTGACCAACGCGAGGGCTTCAAAAATGCCTCTGTTCCAAGATCGCTTGAGGTTTGAAAAGGTTTTGTCGACCAAAATTTGTGTTGGCTGCAATTCCAGCTTACTGTGCCAATTTCAGAGTATGGTTATATGCAAGATGGGCTGTGATACCAAACTAGAGCAAAAGTTGAAATGCTGATGTGCGCGAATTATTTGTTGTAGTGGTTCGAGCTTTAAGATTGGTAACTGAATCATCTATATGCGAATGCCAATGTGATACTTTTCTGACGAAGGTGAAGCCTTTGTGCGAACTAGTCGTCATGAAGTTCACTTGTACGCTCCCATTGCATGTTTAACTAGAACTAAGCTGTTGACAAAATGACTTATATATTTATTTATAATATTTTATTGTTATCTAATTGAATTGCTATAATAATTTAATGTGCATGTTTCGTTTTCTAAAATTAACCGTTGTGTTTTTAATTTTGTTCAAATCTCAAATATTTATATTATTGCATACTATTAATTAAAATGGAGTTTTACATACATTTTCAAATTTTATTTGCTTCAGGATTAATAGAATTCCATCACCAATGGAATTTCTTGAACAGTCTACTGGATTCGTTTTGAGATGTTAATCCACTAATTACTTGGCAGTGGTAGTAGATTCTCGATGTTGATTGGTGATTTGGTGGTTTCACACTGTTTTCTATGTAAGTGTCTCCTCGACACATCTAACTATTAAATGGCTCCATAACACACTACACTTTCTCCTTTCCAAACAGTTTTCTTGATTTTATATTTAGTGTTAATTATATAATATATCGATATTTTACTATTTTTACAGAATCATGGAAAATTCACTACCTATTTACAATATTCTTTGGGCAACCAACTAAGTTGCCGCCGAAATTGTTCTAATGCTCTATGCAATTTAGCTGTTCTATGAGCTCCGTTAAATGTTGGATTTTGTTCTTATGTATAATGGTTTGTTCACCTAGCCGTTGTTTTCATCGACTAAAAACTAATCGACATAGGTATCGAGTTATACATATATATATAAATGGTCAGGATGAACAAGACGAGTTCGAACAGAACCACGCCCACAAATGCGATTGCTGAAATTGTATAAATGGCATATCTAAGCACTTAAGTAACATATATAATTGTAATTTTGCAGGTTTAGCATCTCTTCGAACTGTGAAAATGGGTAAATAACAACAGATAATAAGCACGCCAACTTCCTATATACCGGTTATGTTGAAACCACTAAAAGTGCGATAACCTCTGAATAAATGCGCCACAAGCATTAAATTTCCAATCAAGATGATAGAAAAGCCTATAGGAGTATTTGTAAATTAAAACAATGGGCGTGGTACGCTTAACTTTTTGGTGAAATCCTATATCTAGGAACTACTTGACTAAATAACCAAATTTGCGTGTGGAGGTTAAATTACATCTGATTCTTTCACTTTACAGTATACAATGCACATATAAATGAAGTTATCATAAAACTGTGCAACAAATTATGCCCTTAAGTTATTTCATTCTTGCGCTCTGAAAGAATTCCCACTTTTGTTCTCATTCAATTAATTCATGAGATTATATTTTCCACAAATTTTTATACTTTGCACATGTTGATACAGAATATAATAGTTTTGTTCGCTAACGGTTGAATCAACTAAACTAATCGAAATGCTTTGAGGTTATATATATTAATTCGATGACGAGGCGAGTTGAAATCCGAGTAACTGTTCGTCCGTCCGTTTGCCCGTGCAATCGATAACTTGGAGTAAGAATTGAGATATCTTTGAAGAAACTGGGTGGGGGTACCTATGTT